CCTTCCACTCCCGCGGCCGCCCAGGAGGGGGCCAGTCCTGTCCCAGGCCCCAATCAGCCCGCCCGTCGGCTGATCCGCCTCTCCAGCCCAGAGCGGGAGAGGCTGTCCTCCCTTAAACTGACCCCGGACCCGGAAACGGAGGCTCCACCCAAGCCCCCCCGCAGCTGCTCTGCCTTGGCCCGCCAGGCCCTGGAGGGCAGCTTCCTGGGATGGGGAGTGCCAATCCAGAACCCTCAAGGTAACTGCTCCTCCAGGGGTGCTGAGCCAGGGTGGGGATGGGCAGGTGGTGCTGGGATCCCTGGAGAGGAATGCTGGGGAATGGAAAGGGAGATGGGGGACCACAGGTCATGTCTACTTCTCTGCTCAGTTCTTATGGACATGGAGGAGGAAGAGAACCCCTCCTCCAGTGAAGAGGAACAAGAGGAAGAGGAAGACGTGGCTTTGGACTTAGACATGGAACAGGTGAGTGGAAGAAACCTGGCCACCTATTCTGCTCACACCAACCCCCCACCCCCCTCCACCACAGGAGAAACCCACAGCTTGTTCATGCCTCTGAACCCTGTTCTTGGAAGGTCTTCACCCCCAGTCTGACTCTTTCATAGCCCTAAGCTCCCATCTTTTCTACCAGAACTCACCCCACTTCTAGCCCAATCTCCCCCAACCCCTGTCTACCAAGAGGCGGGGCCCTGCCCCTGACTGGTCTGACCCTGCCATAGGCTCTGCTGACCTTCGCCAAGAACTCAGGCACATTGGACAAGTACCCCACTTGGCGGCGGACCCTGCTGCGCCGTGCCAAGGAGGAGGAGATGAAGAGATTCTGCAAGGCCCAGGTGGGACCGCGGGCTCCGGTCCTGATGGGCTGAGGTGTGAGGCTGGGGCCAGAGCTTCTCCAGGGCCCCATTCTTGAACAATCCAGACTTCTGGGTCTCGTCTTGTCTCCCCCAGGGCATCCAGCGGCGCCTAAATGAGATTGAGGTCGCTCTGAGGGAGCTGGAGGCTGAGGGGATGAAGGTGGAGCTGGCCTTGAGGGACCAGAGCAGTGAGTGAAGCCAGGGAAGAAGCTGGGATATCCCTTTGCCTCTGGCACTGTGTAGAGCCCCCAGCGATCCCCCCAACCACTCTGGCCCTGGCAGGCCTCCGGATCACCCATTCCCCTTCTTTCTCATCAGGTTCCCCTGAAGAGCAAAAGGCACTTTGGATAAAACAGCTGCTGCATCTTGTTGAGAAGAAGAACAGCCTAGTGGCTGAGGAGGCTGAGCTCATGATCAAGTAAGGGACATGGGAGGTGGCGGTGGCTTATGAGCCAGGCCCCGGCTAAATCCTTGGGCACCATGGACAGCTGTGCCCCTTCTGTCCCTGCCCTCCACAGGGTACAGGAGCTGAGCCTGGAGGAGAAACAGTTGCAGCTGGACCAGGAGCTTCGAAGCTACATGAACCGGGAAGGTATGCAGGCTGTGGGGATGGAGCCTTGTGACCTCAGATACTGACCTAGCAACATGGTCCTCTAGCCAGAGCGCCTCCAAGGCCACTTGAGGAAGCCAGACGAAGGGGCAGCAAGCCCTTACTCTGCCTTCAGTCCAATCAGAGCTGCACATTTGGGCTTTTGTGTAGGATTTCCTTTGAACATGGCGCCGCTGTGAAACAGTGCAAAAGACCACTGGTGCTGACAAACCTGATTTTACTGATTAGGCAACAAAGGCCAGGTTGTAGACATCACAGAGGCCAGGATGAGGCTGTGCTTCTCTCACACCCCTGCCCAGTTCTCTAAGCTTCGTCTTCTCCCTCCAGAAAGCCTAAAGACAGCTGCAGATCGGCAGGCTGAGGAGTGTATCCTGAAGAAGCTGGTGAGTGTGGTGAACCAGCGAGATGCCCTCATCCGCTTCCAGGAGGAGTGCCGGCTCAGCGAGCTGGCATCGGGGCCAGAGGCCCAGGGCTAGAGGAGGCTGGGCTACCTGCCTTCCTCCCTGAAAGACCATCCCGCCCAAGGACAGTGCCACCCTGCTCATCCGGGCTGCCCGGGAGAGCCTCACTGTTCACAATAAAAACATTTCTGCCACCCACAGGACGTAGGCTGCCTGCAGATGGGAGGGGGAACGTGTAGGGAGAGCAGATGTGTAGGAAGGAACCTGAAGTTTACACTGTGACAGTGATTGTGACCATTGACTCAAATCACTGCCTCTACAAGAAAAAAAGGCAGAGCCATCAAAGTGCCAAGCTTTATTGGTCCTCAGCCCTGCTCCCCTCCTGATGACCCAGGATCAAGGCTGGCTGAGACTCTGGACCCGGGTCCTGGGCCTCCCTTGCTCTTCCCAGCACATGCTGGAGCTCAGCCCGGGCCTTACATAAGCCCTTGGCCTCCTGCATGTGGAAGGTGTAGATGGCACCTGCGCCCAGCAGCAGTCCTACACTGGGGGTCCACAGCAGTATGGCAACTTCCGTGACCCCTCCTCCAGCTGCCAGGGTGCACAGCACTGCCAAGAGAAGCAGCCCCAGGCCAATCACGTAGCCAGCAAAGGTGGCCCACCAATGAGCTTGAGCCACAGCCTGATCCAGCTCTGTCAAAGCCTCCCTCAGCACCACGACCAATGGTGAATTCTCTGCCGTTCCTAGAACAGGGCAGGGGATGGGACGGAAGAGACGGTCAGAGGGGAAGGGCTGCCCTGTTGCGGGGAGGGACCACAGGAAAGGGTGGGGGTGGCTCACCGTGAGTAGAGCTCGGGCTGTGCTGGGGCGGGCTGTGTCTCACACACAGCGTAGCCATCAGGGCCTCATGATCAGAGAGCGGGGAGCCACTGTGCGGGTCAAGGCCTGTAGTAGTTTTGAGAGTCTTACAGGAGATGCAGAACCCGGAAACTGCCTGGGAACAGTAAGGGCCAGAGAGAAAACATTGTTTTCCCAGAGAACCAGCTCCTGGCGATCCCATTCTCAGGTCACCAGTGAACTAAGACTAGACTAAGTGGACAAAGGATCCACACAGGCTGGCGAGAGAAGAGACACGGTGGGTGAAGACACCTTGAGGGAGAGGCCTGACCTTATAGAGCACATAGTCGATGCGGATGCCACAGGAAAATGGGTGCAGTTCCTTCCGGTTGACATAGCAGTTCTCAGGGACCATGGTACAACCTTCTTCAGAGCCCTAGGTGAACAGTGGGCTTGTGCCAGGATGCAGGGGAAGTGGGAAAGCAGCGGGGCATCCAGGTGGGGAAATAATCAGGCAAGTCCCTCACCTTGAAGTCCCGGGTCTCCAGATAGGCATCCTGCAGCCCCGTCCACTCCTTCAGGAGGCGGCAGCCCAGGTCCTTCGGGTGCAAGTTGAGGTCCCCACACAACAGGACCACGTCAGCCTTCTTGGATGTATGGCTAAGGAAACCAGGTGAGTGAGGCCAAGAATTCGTCCCTAGCCAGCTTCTGCCCCATGAGTGAGGCCTTGGCCACCCCTCAGCCCCTGACCCCATCCCACTTCCCTTGTCAAGCCCAGGCTCACACACTGGATGAAATGGGCCAGTTCCCAAGCTTGGACCACACGATGTGCTAGGTAGATGTCCTTCTGTCGATTGTACTCTGCGTGGAGCTGAGCAAGATAGATGAGATTACAGCAGATCCGACTGAGTGTCCCAAGGGAAGGTCTAAATTAAGCTTGTGCCTGTCACTTGGCGTGGTGCTTGGTAAAAAAACGGGCGAACCTTGCCCGCTGACTGTAGGAGAGCCTGCCCTCACCCCTCGACCCCAGGCGGTCCAGCTAGAGGAGTCCCATCTCTCTCCCCCAGGACCAGGCTACCTGTCCCGGCCCTAAGCACGCCAGCCCGCTTCACTCACATGGGTCACGTAGGCGTTGAGCACCAGTCCGCTCAGATGGAGTACCAGCAGCCCCACAGCCTTCCCACAGAACCAGTCACCGTGGTGGATCTGCAGGCAGGACGGGGCAGGAACTCAGGGCGCTGCTGCCCTCTTGCTGCCCTTCCCTGATGCCTCCTTTACCACGAGGGTGAGGGGTCGGGAAGAGGTCAGAGGTCAGAGGTCAGGCCTACCATGTAAGGGTAGCCATTGAGAGTGTAGACATGCTGGGTGAATTCCTGGATTGGGTGTTTGGAGAAGACACAGAGGCCGCTGCCAATGATGCCACTGAAAGACAAGTCCTCATTAACAGCCAGAAAAGCAGGAAGAGAAGAACCAGTCCTCTTCCCTTCTCTTGTCTCAGCACTTATCAGCTCCTTCAGTCTGTCCCCGGCTGGGACAGCCCCAGAACTCGGCTCAAAGCACCCGCCTCTGCGGGGATGAACGATAAGGTGACCCGATTGATGATAAGGCTGAGAGGAGCTGAAGAGCTAGGATCTTCCTGGTTCCACCCTCTCCTGCTTCCACACCCAGGCAGACGGTGCTGGTGAAGAGGAAGGCGGGTGCGGGCAGGGCAGGGTCGGGCTGGCAGGGCCCAGAGCCTCCAGTCTGAGAACCGGCTTGCAGGCAGGCAGGCTTCTCACCTCCTGAAGTAGTGTGCGGATGGGTAGGTGGGCAACAGCTTCTGCTTCAGGTACTGGAAGTCCTGCTCGCTCCACACCTGGGGGGAGGGGTGGGTGGAGAGGAAGGCAGTCTGCCTGGCTCTTGAAAGCCTGCAGCCGCCACTCCTCCCGGCCGGGCTTCCCCTCTGCCCACCTCCTGCAGCAGAGCTAGGTCGAAGCTCTCCATGTTCAGAAAGTCCCCCAGGCGCTTCATGCGGTCTCCTCGGCGCTTGCTCAGGTAGGGAATGCCCCTGAGGACAGGAGGGGCGGGGAGGTGGCTGCGGGGGGTGCTCGGCCCCCCGACACTACTAGCTGGGGCCAGGTGTGGGTTTTGGAGGTGCGTGTTCTACACCCCCCCCACCCCCCCGCGGGATGGTAGGACAGGGGAGAGCCGTGGCCCGGATGTGAGCAGCATGGCCTTTTTCTGTGGCCCCAGGTCCCACCGAAAGCACTCACCAGCAGTTGAGGTTGAAAACCCTCAGTCTCAGGGAGAAGTTGGGCTTCATGGCGGGACGCTCTAAGGTCAAAGGACCGACGGCTTCCTCCTCGATCGGCGCTGTCGGGACGGGCGGGCGGGCGGGCGGGCGGGCTGGCGGCAGGCCCTCCTCCGGGGGCGGCGCGCACAGGTGGTCGGCCCCGCCCCCGCGCTCCCTGGAAGGCGGGGGCCCCGCCGCGCGGTGGCTCCTCAGCCCCTGCTGCCCAGGGCCCCCTCGCGACCCGAGACAGACGCCCGCGTTGCCGGGGCAACCGGGCTGCTGCCCCGAGCTGGCTACCCCCCCTCACCCCCCCGCGCCGGAAAGGCGATCTGCGGCGAAAGCCGGGAGCGAGGCCCGCGCGCGGGGGGGACACCCGGATGGGCGGCGAGCCGAGCTGAGGCACGAGGGGCGCGGGGCTGCCGGCTCCCCCTCCCCGAAGCTGGCCTCGGCCTCGGCGGCCCGCGCGCCCTCGCCCGCCTCTTACCCGGCTGCCCACCAGCAACAGGCAAGCCAGCCGGGCCGCAGCCGCCGCCGCCGCCGCCCTGGGCCCGCCCCTGACCCCGCCCCTTCCTCCCTCCCCGCGGACGTGGGGGCGGGGCCGCGCGGTTGCCCTGGCGACACGCAGTGTTTGTGCTCCGAGCCCGGAGCGAGGGCCGCGATGGCGCGCCGGTGCGGCTCGCCGCCGCCGCCCGAGCCGCTGCTGCAGGTGAAGGTGGTGGGGGTCTTCAAGAGCGCCGCCTTCCAGATGGCGAAGAGCACCGCGGAGGTAACGGCGGCGAAGCAGCCGCGAATGCGGGCGGCCCTTCCCGCGTCCTCGCCCCGCCCCCGTGGAGGCCGACGCGGGTGGCGGGGGGGTGCGGGGGAGGTGGATGTTCCGGGAGGTGATGCCCCGGCTGAGCCGGGCCGGTCCGGGCGCTGGGGGCGCGGGCGGGTTCCGGGGGCGGGCATTCCACTTCGAGAAGGCGTGCCTTTTAAAAAGGGCCTTCCGAGCGAGGGAAGCCTTCAGAACCTCGCTGGGAATAAAGGTAATTCCTCCCCTCTGCATAGCCACACGTTATTCCGCATTGGTTTTTAACTGGAATGACAGATTTTTAAAAATTCACGAAAAAATATTTAGGAAAAAGCTACCATATAATTAGCTGACTTTTTTTTTTTTTTTCAAACTCCCACTCCCCAGTAAATTTTGAGAGCCATTTGGGAAGTTTATTATTTTTATTATTATTATTATTATTATTATTATTATTATTTAAAGTTTCTATAGCAGTCACTACATTCCAATCGAAGTAGGTGCTTAAGGGGATTTCTTTTTTTTTTTTTAATATATTTTATTGATTTTTTACAGAGAGGAAGGGAGAGGGATAGAAAGTCAGAAACATCGACGAGAGAGAAACATTGATCAGCCGCCTCTTGCACACCCCCTACCGGGGATGTGCCCGCAACCAAGGTACATGCCCTTGACCGGAATCGAACCGGGACCCTTCAGTCCGCAGACCGACGCTCTACCACTGAGCCAAACCGGTTTCGGCCTTAAGGGGATTTCTTAATAAATGACCCACCGTCAGGTGCTTTGGAGAATACAGATAATTGTTGGTAAACACACAGAGTGATCTAGATGGAAAAACACTTTAGTTGGAATGATGTGGCCAGGTCAGTGATGTTGCAACACGCCCATAACCCCAGTGCTGGGGGAATGTAGAAATGTAGGATTCAGCATGTCTTTGGGGTTTGCTCCACAACTGTTGCTTTAAAATTATGCCAACCTTCTCTCCTTCCCACTAGACTCTGGGACAATACATTATTCATGTTTATATCTTCCCAAGTACTCAGCTGGATACTTGACACAAAATGTTCCCAAACAGAAAAAATCTTAAATTCCTATCTTGCCTATTCCAAGTCCACAGAGTTAAAGAAAAGTTTGTAATTACATCATGTCAGGAAGTAGTAACTAATTTGTGAAATAGGTAAAGTTTACATCAAAATGAAGGGAATAAGTGATCAGAAGGCTGTGGAAATATTATATGGATCATCAAACCAAGTAGCGATTGTGTTAGTTGGGCTGATGGGATCAACCTAATTTTATGGCCTAAATTGTAATTCATGTGTTTGAGGGATTTTATCCCTTTGTTTTTCTCAGCTCCTTTTATGAAAGCAAGTGTTTTCTGTGCTTGCTCCACACTGTAGATAAGGTGTTGGCAGTGTTTTTGTGTAAAGTCCAGATATTAGATTATTAGGCCTTCGGGCCCAGAGATTCTCAGTGGCTACTACTCTGTCCTTGTGGTTAAAAGCACCCACAGTATGTAAATGAGGAATGGTTTTGCAATAAAACTATTGTGCACACTATAATTTGACTTGCATGTAATGTCATATGACATGAAATATTATTCTTCTTTTGATTTTTTGATTTGGCCTGCTGTAGGGCCCATACTAAGTCAAGAAAAAAATGCCTTTCGCTGTTGTAGAGCACTCACTAAGAAAACAATGCCGTTATTATGTTAGTAATGATAATTTCCCTTTCGTAAGCTTTTGCTTACTGTAGCTCTATTTGAATATAAAGACATCAATGTAAATTCAGCTAGTTCTATCTTAATAAAGGATCTGTGAAAATAAGTTTAATGTGATAATTTGTGAGCAATCCCAGATGCCTAAGTAACTGATCAATACTCAGATTTGTAAAGAGTATTACTCTTTATCCACTAGCCAGTTTCGCTCGGTGGATAGAGCGTCAGCCTGCGGACTGAAGGGTTCCAGGTTTGATTCCGGTCAAAGGCATATGCTAGGGTTGTGGGCTTGATCCCCAATAGGGGGCGTGCAGGAGGCAGCTGATCAATGATTCTCTATTTATTGATTTCAGAGAGGGATCTTTCTATCCCTCTCTGAAATCAATAAAGAAATATATATTTTTAAAAAAGAGTAAGTATTACATATATACTAATTTGGACGGAGTCCATTTTAGAACAAACACTAAATTATGAATAAAGTGTGGTTAAGTGTGCTTAACCACATAATTTGAAAACTATCAAGCTTATTAGTTACTCCAGGTGGTCCCTCAGTTTGAGACAGCCATCCTGCACAATTGCCTCAGGCTCAGCAGACACTGGATGGGAGAAAAAGGCACACATCATCTGTTGGCTGGGGACAGTAGTCTAGGAAGGAAATGGCCAGATTGCTGTTGCCCTCTTCTGCCATCCCTAGCCCCAAGGCAAGATGCACTCACACTCTGCCCGTCTACCCCTGATGAAACGAGCCAGGTCAGTGTCCCGTTAGACCACGGTGGGAGAGGCCAGCTGTCACCTCTCCCTATTGGCCCATCTATTCCTCAGACCCACGCAGAAAGGGGAGGCCCAGTGGTTATTGTCTCAATTGTCTTCTCTTGCTTTAGGAGGAGGGAAAGGATGACATATTAGGAACTAAAACTTTTTATTTTTGACAGGGATTAACTAGTAAGAATTTTCTCTGAATCAAACAGACAAAATGTTCAAAACTATTGATAAAACATGCTCAATATCTAAACCAAACATATTTAGTATTTCTTTCTTCCCCAAGAGGTATAACCACAACAATATCCTTTTGGTCATTCTCCATATATCAGTGAATTAAAGCAATAATTAAATAAATAAGCATCTATTTATTTTAGTTAAAAGTATCCATAGATGCGCTGAGGGTTAGTAAGGGTTTAATTTAGGAAAACTGGTCCTAAAAGAACGCGGCATATCACAAAACTGTTGGCACAATCTTGTTTATTTGTTCGTTTGTTTACTCAGTTGCTGTGTGTAAATAAATGATCTACTCTATGCCAGATGTTGAGGCCAGTGGAAATATAGGAAAACTAAGGCATAGTCTTTGTCCTCAAAGAAACAAATAAGACGGAGCACCAGTATGGACTGGGGAGGGGCTTAATGGAAGTAAACACAGGGTTCTGGATGGCTGGCAAGGGGCATCTAACCAGGCTGCAGCTTGGATATGCATGGTATAAAATTTCTTGGAGACATCATAAAAATTGGGGGAAATTATTACTACTTTAAAAAAGAACTTACTCTAAACTAATTGTTCTATTTTGAAACCTAGTGTCTGAAGACTAATTTTCCATCCAAATTTGATGATCCTATAATGGTTCCTCTTCAAGAATTTGCATGGGATCAATATCTACAGAGGAAAAAAAGGGTAAAGGATATTTGGGGTGGGGGAAATGAGCAGAGTTTTGCCTGAAGTATTTTTATGCATTGTTTTGGAAAAACTGAATTAGTAATTTCAGTGCAGCTAAATTTTATTTCTCTAAATCATGCACTTTTCCCAAGTTATTTCATTCATTTTACCAGGCTGATTTTAAGAAAAAGTAAAATATTTACAGAATTTTCTTTAGGAAGGCATGTGATAAAGGTAAGTTTTAAACTCTCAATGCTGCTATTTACCCCTCTTTCCCTGCACATCACTCACTCACACTTCCTCTGACATCCTGAAGCTCAGGTGGTCTGGCCTGGCACTCTTCACTCTGGAAGTTTTTGGATCACAGATATAATGGGGGCTTGTGTTGCCTAGGGGAGCTCTGATGACAGGCACCACGTTCCCACAGGGCCACCTTGTTCTAACTGAAGTGTCCTTCTCTGCATCCCGTCCCCAGCAGTACCCTTGGTGCATCCCAGGGCTAGCAGAGGGCAGATAGGTTTCTCTTGGGTGCCAAGAGAGGATGTGATGCCTGGAGGATGCCCGGAGGATTGATGTGGATTCTAAGGTGGCATCCTAGCTCAGCAATGTCTCATTTTGAGCGGTGGTGGGGGCTGGAATGGTGGTGTATACGTCTTGCTTGACACCCTGGCCCAGTCCCGTAGACTCCCAGTCCTGGTTTCCCTGCCCCACCCCATCTGGCCAGGGGCTGATGAAATCCCATTCTCCTGACCAGACCAGTTTCGATTGTTCTGTGCTCAATTGCACAAGGAAGTTCTGTGACCCTGTGATTATCATGCAGACAGAGTGGCTTTACCGGAGACTACTTCACTCTCCAGTCACCGGAATGGTACAAAACTGAGTCAAGAGTACCACTCGTTCAGTCTCATGCCATTTTCATAGCCATAATACCTTTTTATTGGCATTCAAATAGAATCATAGCAAACACTTACAAACGGTGCTTATTGTATGCCAGACGCTATTCTAATAGCTTCTCCAATATATGGAGAAGCTATTAGAATAGCGTCTGGCATACAATAAGCAACTCTAATCCTGACAATAACCAGAGTGGCCAATGCCCCTGGTTTACCTGGCACGGAGGAGTTTCCTGGGACACAGAAATTTTAATGCCAAAGATGGGCCAGTACTGGGCAAACCAGGACCATTGGGCACCCTAACATAAACCAATGTTTTTCTTAATTTTTATCATCAGACTTACTATACTGTGTACCAACCAGCATCACACTCTGCACCTCCAGGAGCCACGATCTTAGGTTTTACTTGCACCTGCTCCTCTGATATTTCCCACTCTACTCTTTAAAGAGTATTTACTTGCCCTTGTCAGCCTGGGTTGTTGACCTTGAAATGTTTTGTGTTCTCTTACTCCTGCTTTTCTGATGGGGCCTGAATGAGGCTTTTAGATAATCATTGCTGCTTCTTTCCTATTCTTTATTCCTTATTCTTCCTTCTCTAACCCTTTTCTCCTGGATAATTATCATTTTAACCTCTTTCTTTTCAGGCCAGTGTTTTGTCCTTCACTGTAAGCGTTGTGTCACATGTCAGATGTAGTGCTCCTTAGCACATTTGATTAGGTCCAGGCTGGCCTTGGTCTTCAGCAGAATGTGTTGCACATCTGAGGGATGGCTTCAGGGCTTTTGAAATGCCTTTCTCTCCTCTCTGCTATTTACCCCTCTTTCCCTGCACATCACTCACTCACATCTCCTGGGATGTTCTCAGAAATGCATGTTCTCAGGCCCCACCCCAGAATCAGAAACTCAGGTGGGGCCTTGGGAAGTTGTAATTTTGATTGCCCGCTAAAATTAGAGAACAGCTGTCCCAAATTAGCCATGGTTTTGACATGTGACACAATACTAGGAATAAAAAATCAGAATCCTCGGAGGTGGAGGGGGACACCCTGGGATTTAGGAGGTTGACTGGCAGTGTGGTGTGGATGAAAATGCACTTCATTTTGAAGGACTTAGTACTTGAAAGTGCTGATGCAGGTGAGTCCTCTTCCTCAATGCCCCTCGAGTACCCAGAAGTCCCTATTGGCCTTCACCCTGACCCCACCTCCATGAATAAAGCATTCTTTCTGAAAACCGTGTCTCCCTCAGAACTCCTGACCTCATTTATGCACACTCCCATGTATGCCAACAGTAAGATGTGCTTCAGAAATGACACCATAGCCCTGGCCGGCGTGGTTCAAAGGTTGGAGCATCGGCCGAAGGGTCTCGGATTCCATTCCAGGTTAATGGTTCCTAAGGGGGTTGCAGGCTTGCACCTGGGTTGTGGGTTCCCTCCCCACTCCCATTGTGGCGTATGTGGTCGATGTTGCCCCCTCCTCCCTTTCACTCTCAGAAAAGCAATGGAAAAAATATCCTCAGGTGAGAATTAACCAAAAATAAAAAGAAGAAATGACACCACAGATTGCCTTTTGTTTCAAGTTATTGAAACAAGTTTGCTACATACATATTTTTTATTACCAGGTCACCATCTGTTTTCTTTGATTATATCATTTTAAAGATTATTTTTAGGTTATTCTTTGCTTTAAGTGATGTCAGAGTCTTAATGTTCTTGAATTCTTGCTGACAGCAAAATTCTGAGAGATGGCAAAAAATATATATTTTAAAGATTTAGACCTAGAGCTGAATTCAAGATGTGGCTTGTGGATTTAGCACTGCTTATTGTTGTTTTCTTTCTTTGTTACATTTTTTTTTTTTCCTTTACAGGAACTTAGGAATGAAGTCTGGGAATATTCTTCCAATGTCATGTGTTTCATTAATGATCAGCTGCTGGGTGATGTATTTGAACTTCAAAAATGGGCCCACAAGGTGTGGAATATGATTGACTTTAAGCCCCCTGCACTTTATGAGGCACTTACGGTGGACTTTTCTACTAAATTATTAAGCGACACCAAGGCAAGTTACACTGATTTTTAAATAAAAATAGTGGAATCTTTGATTATTTATTTTGACTCAGCATTAATTACTGATATCCTAATGAAGGGAATATGAAAGACTAGGAGACCAGGTTTGCAAAGGATTATAATGTGGCAGGGGTTTGGCAGGCAGGAGTATTTCCAAACATTTCCACTCCCTTAGAGGTTTATAGACATTATCATTTGTGCTAAAATATAAAGACTCTCTTGCTGAAACCGGTTTGGCTCAATGGATAGAGCGTTGGCCTGCGGACTGAAAGGTCCTAGGTTCAGTTCCGGTCAAAGGGCATGTACCTTGGTTGCGGACACATCCCCAGTGGGGGGTGTGCAGGAGGCAGCTGATCGATGTTTCTCTCTCATCAATGTTTCTAACTATCTTCTTCTCTGCAAAAAAAGCAATAAAATATATTTAAAAAATAAAAATAAAAAAATTTATAAAGACTCTCCCTCAAAGAAGGTCAAACCTATCACTCACCTTTAGTGTGGAATATTTTAATTAGTACCAATACCCACGTGACATATACTGCACCAGGAGAATGGAAAGTTTTGGAAGAAAGGTGACATTTTAAAGCATGACACACGGTGAGAGCAGGATGTAATGTCACTGGGGTGTCTGTGGCAGAGGACAGTCATGAAGTCTGAGGTCGAGAGAGTGAGGGACAGACATCATGATTGGATGGCAATAGAGATAAAAGTACTTTGTAGTTTTGCTCACAAAGTTTGTAGCAACAACTATACCACATGCTGAAGATGACTTCATGCTCCTGGTGGCCTGGGCCTACAGAGAGATCCAGTGCCTTTCTGAGCTGTGCAGAGACAAACACCAGTATCTTGCATCCCTGTTTAACCACTGCATGGAATGGAATCTGAAACACAGTAGCTGCTCCATGAATATTTGGTTGAATAAACAATGCACTTGGAAAATGCTAGAAACTCGGGTGCACGGCGGCACTTAATGTTGATAGCAGTTAAATCCCAAAGGGATAGGAGTTTAGAAGTACATGGTGTGCTCTGGGAATAACTGGGACAACAAAGAGACTAGAATTACTGGGGAAATGAGGCTGAGAGAATGAGAGTATCAGTCATGATTCTTCATGTCATCAATACTAAGCTACTCTGATTAATTTAGATTAAGGGAAAAGGGCATGTATTTAAGGGATATTGGTAACCTCACAAGTGGCGGGTAAGTTGGAGAACCTGCTTTGGAAAGCAGATAAGGACCAAAGGAAGCCTGGCGCACCCTTCTCCACATCAGGAATATGCAGCCAAGATCTGCCATGGTGCCTGCTGGTCTGGGTTCAATCTCCCTGCATCCCCGGGATATCCCTGCATCCTGGCTCTCACAGGTTGGGAAGAGGGAGAATATGGCCCCTTCAAGGTCTGTAGAGGGTGGCTGGGCCCTGTGGGGAATTCCCCAAATAGGAAAGCTGTTCAGCTGTTAAATAGGAAGAAGAAAAAACAAAAACAAAAAACACCCAACGGATCCACTAAAGAAAGGTTGAACTTCCCATCCATTCTGAATCAAGAGGGAACTTTTCATAAAGAGTTATGACACAGTCCTTCGCTTTTCCGGAAAATTTTTTAGGGCTGTGCAAAAACAGGCTGGTGTGAGGGAGGGAAGCCTGGTGACAGGACAGCCTTCTGGAAAGCTGCTATAGCAGCAGGGGCTAGAGGTAAAGACAGTTTCCATTAACTGGTGGTCATGAGGGGAGGGGACCTACGTTCCAGAGGAAATCCTTAGGGTCCCCCCACCCCTGCCAAATGGTAGATTTTTCTTGCTGAGTAAAATCCAGGGACTTGTTTACCTTTGGGTTGGATTGATATGCTACATAATTATATTTGTGTGTTTGGTCTGCTCTCAACAACCCCAGAAAAATAAGATATTATTGCACAGGGAATCATGATTTTCAGTAAATCCTTTTCCCCCCCTCCTAAGCCTGTGAAGTTGACTCTTATTCTATTTTTAAAATGTTTTATTTTTAAACCTCTTATTCTAAAGTAATAATGCTTTTATAATCAAGAAATTGTAGTACAGAAGCTGAGAGGCACAGCTTCTGACCTCATATAATAAAGAGCTAATATGTTAATTAGGCCAAAAAGTAGAATGATCGTCTGGACGAAGCCTGTGCTGCGAGGAACAAGGCAGCCGCGGCCTTACATGACTTTTGTGAATCGGGCCTCTGGTTAATTATAATTAGTATGGATGCCGGAATACACATTATTTCAATCTTTCAATTAAAAATATTATTTATAAGGCCGGTGTGGCTCAGCAGTTGAGCTTTGATCTATGAACCAGGAGGTATTGGGCATGTGCCCACTTGCAGGCTCGATCCCCAATGGGGGACATGCAGGAAGTGGTCGATCAGTGATTCTCACATCATTGATGTTTGTCTTTCTCTCCCTTTCTTAAATCAGTAATAATAATAAAGGTTAGAGTGACATAAAATTAATGATAGTGATACATTTAAAATTGATTTCATTTGTTTCCCAGATTCTTAAGAAATAAGGTGTCTAATATCCAAAATGTATTCCATTCAGTGTGCTCTGCTCCCTAGATGAATGCCACTGTGACTAGTGCTTTCATTTTGGATGCCTTTTGGTAGGAGTACACATCTCACAAACATTAGTTGTCTCTACTGGAAAGGATGGCAATAGTAAACGATCTGGGGGTCTCTGGGAACTTGAGGACATGATTGCACAGCATCAAAAGCACAGCACCCCTCGCCCAGTCCTTGGAATCACATCTCCTATGGATTTAGGAGCCTTATTTTCCCTATCAGAAAGGCTGGCCTGGCTTTGTTAGCTAATCTGAGCTGCCTCTGAAAATCCAGAACACATGGTAACCTAATCCAGGCGCTCACAATGGCTTTTTCCCCAAAATTACTGAGGAAAGAAAAGAATTACCAGTCTCTCTTCTCAAAGGGACTGACTGTCCTTTCCACAATTAGTTTGTAATGCAGTGGCTGCCTAAGCCATGTGTTCTTGGTTTTGATTTTGGGTTAATGTTGTTGAAAAGTTTTAAAAAAATGTGTTATTTAGGTTGTAAAGACTTGGTATAATAAAATGAAGCAAAACTCCTTAAATTATTCTTTTAATTTTATTGTTACATTCTCCACTGTTAATGCTGTTAACATCTTGTCAATAAAAACATTATTATTTTGTTTTTGGTCATTTTTAGAATTTTCTTCCAAGATATTGACCTGCATTATCTTTTTCTCCTGAATTTTAATAGCATGATTTTGTGTTCTTGGATGTTTCTATTGATCCTAATCCAATTGGAAGACTGGTTTTTGAGGTAAGAGGTTTTTTGTTGTTTTTTAGTAAGTTGGAAGGGGGTGGGGAGTGGAAATCTGTAACTATAAAAATGTTAAATATTTAATCTTTTAAATCTTGAATTTTATTTTTTAGCTATACTGTGATAAATGTCCCAAAACATGTAAAAATTTTCAGGCCTTGTGCACAGGAAAAGCAGGGTTTTCTCAAAGTGGCATCAAGCTACATTATGTCGGTTCAATTTTTCATCGAATAGTAAAGAATGCTTGGGTACAAGGAGGAGGTGAGTTTACAAACTTAAGTACAACTTAATTGCAACATCAAATCAGAATGTCCAAAATTTTACTTACTTTTGTAAAACGCATATAGACTTAGATATATTTAATATTAGATGTTTGTGGGAACCCTAATCAGATGATGTTCAATGCCAATTTGCCATACACGTACAGAAGCAAGGACACAGCAGTTTTGCTGTATGCGCTGCGCAGGTATACCTTTCTATAGCCCAAACATTGATGTCACTCTTTTGTCTGAGTTGGCCTGGCCTGCGGGGATCAGGATGAAACCGGCTCTCTGACATCCCGAGGGGTCCCGGATTGTGAGAGGGCGCAAGCCACACCGAGGGACTCCACCCGGTACAGATCGGGCTGGGAAAGGACCACAGGAGGGCTCTAGGGCGTGTCCGGCCCATCTCACCCAGTCCAGATCGGCTGGACCCCAGCAGCAAGCTAACCTACTGGTCAGAGCGTCTGTCCCCTGGTGGTTGCACGTCATAGGGAATGGTCGAATAGTCAGACACCTAGCATATTAGGCCTTTATTATATAGGATTATATGGGATGTTACTGACCAGCCAGTACATGACTGCTTTGCATAGCTGCCTTGAAGAACTGCTTTGTCTGATGGCTCCTTAATAGCGATGGCTACTTGGTCTGCAATAAAGTCTCTCTTATAGGCCTAAGACTTCTCATATCTTCTTCTAATACCCAGCATCTGAGGGCCACAGTTGGCATAGTTGAGCAGGGTCAAGGAGTAAGTGCTCCAACAATGTTGTATGTATTTAAAGGATGTTTTTCATAGATATTCATACTCTTTAAAATTTTTCTAATTATAAATCTAAAGTATGTTATCAGGAATATTCTGAAATAAGCCATATAAGAAAGGAGGGAAATGTTTTTAAACAAAACGTAATTTTAAGTGCTCACCTAAATAAATAAGAATACTTAGAAAATACAAAGCTTTTAAGAAACATACTAAAGGTGGGAATTTGAAAATAGAATAAATGGAAAACAACTTATTTTTCACCAAAGATGTTACATTATTACAACTGAAAAGTGAGATCTGGAGCATTTTGGTTTCCTATTTTGGTTCTTTTCAGGTCAGTCCTTTGGCTTTACAGACTAGGTAGCCTGGTTAACAGCACAAAATTAAATTTGGGAGGTTTTGGGGGAAATATCCGATAGGGATAAATTAGTCAATAATCTGTATATATATAAGTGACCGTCCAATCGTTCAATCAGTAGCTATGACAATGACTACCAGGGGGCAGATGCTCAACGCACAGGCATGGAAACATGGAGCAGACTGATGAATCTCAGAGAGAAGGGGGGAGGGCAGGAAGAGATTAACCAAAGATCTTATATGCATACTAGCGGCCCAGCACGTGAAATTGTGTGAGACCCTGAACCACCGCACTGGCGGGACCCCAGGCCTTGCCGCACGGAGCCGTGGGCCCGCCTCTGCTGTGCAGCTTTGACCGGTTGTTTGTTCGTGACGCCAGTAGGGCATAATGACCACAGGCTTCTTAGAATAGAGGACTAGCAGCCTGGTCCACCCATTCGTGCACTGGTGGGGTCCCTCAGCCTGGCCTGCAGGGAATGGGCCAAAACTGGCAGTCTGAAATCCCCCAAGGGGTCCCGGATTGTGAGAGGGCGCAATAAATATATATTTAAAAATATTTAGTTCAAAATTTCACAGAGTGCTCTGTTCTGCTGCTTTTCTATAGTGTTCACAAGTTTGGTGGCTTGCTTTCCAAGATTTACTGGCTCTGTTCCCCTCCTTACCTTTCTCTGGACTTTCCCTTAAGTGCTATGGTCACATCCAGCTCACTGTTGATTCTTCTCTTTCTATTCTTTAGGGGCCCACTTCTGTGGGTTCTAGGACTTTGGGTGTCCCTTCCTTCATCAAAAATATAAAAAATCAGCCCTGGCTGGTGTGCTCCATAGTGAGAGCACTGGCTTGCGCACTGAAGGGTCAGGGTTTGATTCCAGGTCAAGGGCATGTTCCTGGGTTGCGATTTGCTCCCCGCCCCCTGTTGGAGCATGTGCTTGCAGAAGGCAACCAGTCGATGTGTGTCTCTCACAACAGACTGATGACAGAGTGCCCTCCTTCCTCTTCTGCTTTCTCTCTCTCCTCCTCCCTCCCTCCCACTCTCTCTGAAAAGCAATGAAAAATATATCCTCGGGTGAGGATTAACAAAAATATTTAAAAAGTAAAGAATTATATTTTACAGCTGCATTGATATTTTTAAAAATATCTTTGACTTAAAAAATCATTACAAATGAATTCCATTTCCAAAATAATGAGTTATCGCTGTAGGGTTCCAAGGAATGAAAATTTGAACATTAATTCTTTATAAAGCACCTATTTTTATTCTTGTTCTAGAAATATCTTACTGTTTCTATTTTATCCTCTTTCCATTTTTCTTAAAAGATGGACTATATGATAAGTTGTGAAGTAAGCAAAATTTATATGAACACACAATTAAAAAAAAAATCATTATCACAATTATAATTTAACTAGAAGCCGGAGTGGGGGGTCCCTCAGCCCAGCCAGCCCCTCACACAGTAGGGAGCCCTCAGGGATGGGAGGTGACCTGGTGATGGGGGGGGGAAGGGGAGGAAGGCGACGCCCCATCACACCTCTGCTGTGCCTATGTCAGCAGTGCAAGCCTCAGCTGGCCCCGGTTACCTGAGCCTTGGGTGGCCCTGGGCGGCTGGGCAGCCACCATCCGAGGTTTGCCTGTGCCTTGGGCCGGCCCTAGGTGGCTGAGGGGACTCTGGAGGCAGGTGCACGGGGCAGGCCTGGCCTTGCCACACGCCTGCTGTCCTTGCAGGGCTGAGGGGACTGGGCACTGTCATCTTTGAGGGCATGGCAGTCAATGAGCATATTCCCTCCTCATTGGCTGTGGGTGCTGCCATCTTTGCAATGGCATGAGGGTCATTAGCATGTTCCCTCTTTATTAGATAGGATACTTCACCACTTCAAAGTTTACATTGTAATTTAACCTACCTCCAAGAATTGTTAGGAAAAAAATAGTGTCTTGAATGTAAAATTGTTTATAAAACGCATTATAGTAATATTTTCATGGTATAAAACTTATTGTAGTCAATTGTATAAGGGGAATCATAATTGAAAGCATTTTTTACCCTGCCAATGTTGTGCTTTCCTTTTTAGTTTCAGAATTATAGTATTTATTGTTATTTTGCAGATATAGAGGCTGGAAAAGGAGATGGTGGAGAGTCAATTTATGGACCAACATTTGAAGGCATGTATCTTTAAATTTTATCAGTCATATATTAGTTGATAATGCAAATTTAACAGGACAGGACAATTCACAACTTAAGATAGTGTTTGGGGTAACATATTAAAAGTGTGAGTTAGCCAAAACCGGTTTGGCTCAGTGGATAGAGCATCAGCCTGCATATTGAGGGGTCCTGGGTTCGATTCCAGTCAAGGGCATGTACCTTGGTTGCAGCATATCCACAGTAGAGGTTGTGCAAGAGGCAGCTAATCGATGACTTTTTCCCATCGATGTTTCTAACTATCTCTCTCCCTTCCTCTCTGTAAAAAATCAATAAATTTTAAAAAACACTTAAAAAAAATACTAAAAGTGGGAGTTAAAAATGGCATCTCAGGTTAGACCAGAACAGTTTTGTACACACATTGTTTTCACTTTCCTAAGTATATTATTTCTTTAGGATGAATTCCTAGAATTAAGATTGTAGGGTCAAAAGGAATTGGTTTTTAAAGCTTGTAATTTGCCATTCTCAGAATTGGCACCTTGATTATCCTGTTTAGGCTGTCTGGGATCCTGGAAAGATGGGTAGTGGTGGTGGTGGTGTAGTTTATTAATTTTTTAAAATCCCAAAATAAAAACAGACAACATAATTAGATAGAAAAATTGAAAGTCAGCAAAAGAATTAGATAGAAAAACTGAAAACTCATGGGTAACGTTTATAACAAAACCGATAAGCTAAGTTACATAAATTCCAAAGTACAAACAGGTGAGAAGCAGACTGCCAAGAGCCACTGTCGGCCAACAGCCATAAATCTGTGTGGGATAAAGCAGGGCATCCAAGGGACCTGGGAACAGCTGAACCCCAAAATAGCCAATTGCTGGTGTGTGCAGGGGGCTCATAGGAAGGTTCAGTCTAGCCTCTAGGACTCTGGAACCTGATCTGAAATGGCCCTCTTCCAGGACAGGCTGGATTGAGGAGGTATTGCTGGGGATGGAACCAGATTATGCAGGCTAGAGGGAAAACAGTGAGGAGGAGGGAATGCAAATACAGGAAATCTCAGAAAGCAAGATGCATATCGTTGACCACCAATTGAAAACAGCACAAAAAGGAGATTTGTGAAGTTAGAAAAGCTGCTTTCCTTCTAAAGCCACACCTGCTTCTAAATGTTTAGGAAAACTACTTTTACATAAAAATGAACAGCAAAAAGTTTCCTGGTTATTAGGAGGAAAAAAGGGAATAAGGGACAGAGTAACAGTACCACAGATAATAAAAGCACACTACAAAGACATGCTCACAACAAGATCAAAACTGACAATTTCAAAATGAGCTAAAAGATATTACTAAAATGATACAAGATAGGAAAGAACTCATAAATCAGAATTAGGAAAACTCAGCATGAGGTTATTAAACTGAGGAAAGAATAATAAAATTTCCGAGAGAGAGAGAGAGAGAGAGAGAGAGAGAAATTTATGTGACAAACATTGATTGGTTGCTCCCCAAACATGGCCTGAGAGAGAGAGAAAGGGAGAGAGAGAAATTTATGTGAGAAACATTGATTTGTTGCCCTCCAAACATGGCGTAATGGGGGCAGATGGAATATGATAGAGGCTAATAAGTTAAATATTCTATAGTCCTGAATTTGAATTGGAAACTCCACTTTAAATTCAAGAAGTATCATATATATATATATATATATAGCTGTGTCTACTGAATTGGTCTACAAACAACAACCAATCCGATCATGATACACATTCCTAGCATTTAGATTGTTGTTTTGAAATGTCATTTCTCACTTAAAGAAACAAGGGCTTTTGGGAGAAATGGTAGGTTCCAAATATGGAAAGAAAATTACAAAATGAGTCTGGAACCTCATGTTTAGTCAAGCTGTCATCAGAGAGCAAGAACGCTATTAAAGATTTACTAGGATCACGTCAAAGGCCTCAGGAGCCAATTTGAAGAGCTTCTCACTGGCCAGAGATGGAGTAATTTGATTTGAAATCCATGAGTTCATAATAATATTATTTTATAAATAAAGCCCAATTGCTTGGAACTTGGACCTTCTGTCTAGTAGAAGACTGATGTCTCCGCTCCTCTCCTCACCTGCCCCTCTGGAATGATAGGTAACGAGTTCATTGTTTTGAAAATTGATAAATATAGAGAAAGAATCAACCATTCGTCTTGTCTTTTCTATGAGAACTAGACTAAACTGTAAACAAGGGGAACCAACTTATCATAAAAGTATTCCAATTACTAGTGAAAAGGAAATAATAGAATTAGAGCATCACCATTTTGCTGCCCCCATCGTGGGCATCTGGATGTAGGCATTTGCTACATCACAGTCTCTGCTACCATCCCCAAACCAGAATAGACATGATGATCTGTCTGTTGAGAGAACACACCACCAAATGGATAGAACAGGAGTCTGAGCAGCTGCCAATTTGCAAGAAATACGACCAGTTCTGCCATAATGTGTTAAAGATCTCTGTGCTATGTAAAATCATGCAATAGAAACCACAAGACTTATGGCAGAAATGAGATTGAAAACAAAACGTTCCCAGCGGCAGATTAAAAAATAAGACAGTAATCTAACAGAAACAGTTTTACACATATGTTATGGTTATGAAACACCCAGAGGAAACCACACTTAAGTGGGGTAAAATTCATTATGCTCAACTCCTTCCCTGACTTATCAATCAAGGTGAAACAAATAAGCATTTTCGACACAAGTAATATAGCCAAACTGACAGGACAGAGAACAGAGAAAAAGTATATTGAACTGCACCATGTGTGTGCAATGAGCAAGCTCCAGGATGGGAGAAATTCTAGAGGTTAAAAAGGTGCATTAACAGATAAAGTATAAGGAAAAGACAGGGATAGAGGCAAAACCTGTAGATTAAAAGAGATTTAAAAGGCACAACAAGTATTTTAAAATGGGAATGACTAAACTATCCTACCTAGGGATGTACACTTAGATGGTAAAACTACAAGGAAACATTAAGTACTTGATCATGTAAAAGTCAGGGAAATAGTGACTTTGAGGGTGTGGAGAGGGACTTAATTAGGGATTTCAGGGGAGGCTGGCAAAATTCTTTCTCTTGGCCTGGGTGGTGGTTAAAAAGGTGTTTGCCTTATAATAATGAATAATAAGTAACTGAATATTCATTTTCTATGGCTTTTTTCTGTCTGTAGTGAAATGTTTTATTTTTTTAATTAAAAAAAGACATATGTATTGATTTCAGAGAGGAAGAGAGAAGGAGAGAGAGATAGAAACACCAATGATAAAAGGAATCATTGATTGGCTGCCTCCTGCACGCCCCCTATGGGGATCGATCCCACAACCTGGGCGTGTGCCCTGACTGGGAATTGAATTGTGACTTCCTGGTTCATAAGGTCCATGCTCAACCACTGAGCCACACCAGCCAGGCTGAAAAGGTTTTAAAAATAATATTGAATGGCCAAAGTGCAAAGGAAAAAGTAAAAGCTAGTTTCCTTTTAAAATCATATGACAGCTTTATCAAATGAAACCATGTCTATTCATTTATTTACTCATAAATCAGGAAACTCTTAGTTTGGTGCCTACAATTGCACTAGTGCCTTTGGAAAAAAGATGATATGACGAAGTTTCCACCTTCAAGGGTTGTAGTGCTTTTGTGATGACAGATGTTTAAATAGGTAAACTATAGGTGCTGTGCTGATTTTTATTCCAAAGGAAGAACTAAGTGCTGTGCGACAAGAAAGAACAACCAGCTGCCTGGGAGTGAGGGCAGTGGCCCAGAGCAGCTTGTGAGTTTAGTGCAGACCAGCTGTTCCTGGAAGCTTTCCTGGCATCCTTAATCCCCGATGAGAATCCACCCTACCACTCCACCCCACAGCTGTTATCAGACCGCCCAAACTCTTTCTGCTTGGAGGCACGGTCTCAGACAACTCGGGTCTTCTGTCCAGGAGGAGACTGATCTATCTCTTAGGTCATCTCTTCACGTGCCCCTCTGGATATCCCTGTGCCTCTGTCAATTTCTTTCGTTCCCATCCTTTGTGGGGATTTGGTCTCCAGATGGAGGCCTGGCCTCTGGTGCCAGGGAGGCCCAGTGTGTTTAGGGACGTGTCTGTTACTGATTTGCTTGTGTGGAATGCAGGATTAGAAATCCAGTAACTGCCGGGACTGGTTTGGCTCAATGGATAGAGCGTTGGCTTGGGGACTGAAAGGCCCCAGGTTCGATTCCGGTCAAGGGCATCTACCTTGGTTTCGGGCATATCCCCAGGGGAGGGGTGTGCAAGAGGCAGCTGATCGATGACTCTCTTTCATTGATGTTTCTAACTCTCTCTCTCTCTCCCTTCCTCTCTGTACAAAAATCAATAAAATATATTTAAAAAAAAAAAAAAAAAAAGGAAGCCAGTAACTAGTCAAGTGAAGAGAGGGATGCTCCAGGTGACTGTGGGAGAGAGACCATGACTAGTACTCAGAACAGCCACAGCATGGTTTTCCTCCTTTCACCCCTGTGGATTGTTAATACAATACATCAGCCTGGCAGTCCTTCCTCCCAATTTCTCTCATGGGACCCTATTTCCATGAGATGCAGAATTAAAACCCAGAGCTTGTTAAAAACCATTACACACAAAACTTACTTTTATTGGGTTTAACACAGTGAATTTAAAAGAATAAGTCATATTTAATCCAATGATTATTTTATAAATTAGCTAATATTTTAGGTTTTTTTTTAAACTTGAAAATCTGTTTTGCTTTGAATTTTGCTTTTTTGTCTTCCCAAATCCTAGGTTGAATGTTAGATGATGAATATTAACCCCTTTTTTCTCCTTCTATTCTTTGTATAGTAGTCCTAGTTCTTCCCACCCTTGAAGAATTGCTGACTAGATTGGCTTGGGCTGACTAGAGAAATGGTCAGTTATATGAAAAGCCAAAAAAAAAAAAAAAGGCCTATATTTTAAAATACTAAATTATCCTTGGTACATTAAATAGATGAGCTTCTTAATGTTAGCTTGGGCCCTAATAGACACATCACTTAACATCTAATTGTCTACCTTTGCCGGGCAGCTCAGTTGATTAGAGCAGCATCCCAGTTCACCAATGTTTCAGGTTCAATTCCTGGTCAGGGCACATGCAAGAATCAACACATGAATGCATAAATAAGTGGAACAACAAATCATTATTTCCTGTAAGTGGCAGAGGCAGGAGACTCCTGACTCAGACAAGGTAATGAAAGGGTTCTGAGTTTCTACCATAGCCTTTACATTTCCGTAACTTTCTTTGAGTCTTTATTGAAAGTCCATGCCTGTCATGTGACCTAACCCACCCCACCTTCCCTCTGATATTCCAGTCTGTTCCATGCTTCTATCTCTCTGGATCTATTTTGTTCATTAGTTTATTTTGTTTATTAGATTCCACATATGAGTGAGATCATGTGATAATAGAAATATTTTTAATGACCTACTATTTATTGTCTTTTCTAGATGAAAGCTTTTCAGTTCCTCATAATAAAAGGGGAGTTCTTGGAATGGTCAACAAAGGCCGTCACAGCAATGGTTCACAGTTCTACATCACGCTACAATCAGCTCCCTATCTAGATAAAAAATATGTGGCTTTTGGGTAGGTATATTGTAAATTTGTGTATATCATATTCATATGTGTAAAAATGTGGTTAAAAATTTTGGATTAAGTATTGTATGAAGTCTATGGGTAACTATAATAAGATAGAATTTAAAAGCAAAAGTAATACAAATGTAAACATTTAGAAACATTTTGTGAGAAATTTGCTATCCATAAAAAACATAGAAAACATTTAGGAAGCAGAGCCATTATAATATTCTGTTTATCCATCCATCCATTTATCCATTTATGTTCAACCTAAAAGATATTACCAATTCTAAATGATGTTGAATAATACAATAGTACTAAATAATGTAGACAGATGCAGAAGTGAGATGAAACCATTTAAGTAATTGTCCATGAATACTGTGAAGAGATAGATGAAAACTATCCAAATTGCAAGTAACTTTTTTTTAATCCCCCCATGAGGATATTTTTTCCCATTGATTTCTAGAGAGTAGAAGGGGAGGGAGGAGGAAGAGAGAGACAGACAGACAGACACTGTGGCATGAGAGAGACACATCGACTGGTTGCCTCCTGCAGATGCCTGTACTGGGGCTGAGGAACCTGCATCCAAGGTATGTGCCCTTGACAGGGATACAAACCCACTACCCTCAATCTCGGCCGCAGAGACCCAAATACTGAGGAAAAATGGCTAGGCACAAGTAACCTTTTTTTACTGAACAACTTACAATATGGAGATATCTAGAGGCCCAGTGAATCATGCACCAGTGGGGTCCGTCGGCCTGGCCTACACCCTCTCGCAATCCAGGACTCCTGGGGGGATGTCAGACTGCTATTTTCAGCCAAATCCCTGCAGGCCAGCCGAGGGACCCTAGTATGCATATAAGATCTTGGGTTAATCTCTTCCCCCACTCCCCTATCACTCTGAGATTTATCAGTCTTTTCCATGTTTCCATGCCTGTGTGTTGAGCATCTGCCCCCTGGTGGTCCAGTTGACAGGTCGCTTAGGCTTTTATATATACAGATTATTAGCAAGATGCTTATAGGCCTGTGGACCTAAAATGGATGAATATACTTTTCATCACTTCAGTATTTCATATCACTACTTGATTATTGAAGTGAATATACATCGAAGTAATATACATTAAAGTAATATACATTACTTTTTCTTCCCTTAAATGATATGAAGTGTTCAAATTTTTCTGAATAAGTATTAGATTATTCCAGTTACTCCATAGGGATAATTATTAACTCTTCATCCCATGGAGAAATTTCATGCCATTTTACATTTAACCACAAAGTTTATATCTGGCCATTGAGCACTTGAAATGTGGCTAATGCATCTGAGTAACTAAATTTTATTCAATTTTAATTAAATTTAAATAGCTACACATGCCCATATTTGGGCAGTGAAGGTCTAGAGCAGCAGTTCCCAACCTTCCTAATGCCGTGACCCTTTAATACAGTTCCTCATGTTGTGGTGACCCCCAACTATAAAATTATTTTCGTTGCTACTTCATAACTGTAATCTTGCTACTGTTATGAATTGTAAATTTAATATCTGATATGCAGGATGTCTTAGGCGACCCCTGTGAAAGGGTCATTTTGACCCCTGAAGGGGTCGCGATGCACAGGTTGAGAATCGCTAGTCTAGAGGAAATCCTAGGATTTTGGAATTTGTTAAATGGTTGGTGCCATTCACCAAGCTAGAGAAGACAAAAAGGATATGGGAGAGATCATGAATTCAGGATGGACAAGTTATGATCTGGATTAAGATACAACAGACAGGTGGTAACTCCTGAATCCCAGGAACAGGTATTTAAGCTGGGCAAGGTCTAGAGGTGTGGATTTGGCAGCTATTGACATGGCAGCTGAGCTATGCGCTTGACCACAGTACCATCACTCCCAGAACCACCTCTGGGCCTTTGCTTATTTCTTCATTCTGCCTCCCTTCAGTTTGCCAAAATTCCGTTCAAGGCTTAGGTCAGAAACCTCCGATTACCACAATGAAACTGGTTGTCCTCTTTGGCACACTGTGAACAACACAAAGTAGGGACTGGGCCTCACTCATCTAGTGCCCGAATACTTGTAATAATGGAGAGGTTCGCATGGTAGGTGCTCCTTCAGTATTTGTGAAACCAGTTTCAAGAAGAGGCTTCACATTCTTTTTGGACAGAGATGAATGTGTCCCTTTTACCCTGCTCTTCATCCTGAGAATGTACCTTGTGTCCTGCTCTGTCATGGTTTCTAATTGGGATGGCAAAAACAGCCCAGAGGCAGGCAAAGATGACTAGAGCATGATCAGTGTCAGCACTGACCTTGTCCCTATAAAGGTTCATAAAGTGGAAATTGACCTTCCCCTGAGCCATGCCTCAGTGCAAGCAGAGAGTATATTTAGGACAGTCTCCTAATTTCCGCTAGTCTAGAGGAAATCTTAGGATTTTGGAATTTGTTAAATGGTTGGTGCCATTCACCAAGCTAGAGAAGTTATGATCTGGATTAAGATACAACAGACAGGTAGTAACTCTTGAATGCCAGGAATAGGTATTCAAGAGAATCATCAGATAAGCTCCACTCAGAGTTCCAGCTTGTAGCCAGTGAATGTCTACAGATACTGAAACCAGTGTGGTGGCTTGGTGCTATCTTTTATTCATGCATTCAATGGATATTGATTAGGTGCCTACTATGTGCTAGGTATTGTGCTAGGCATTGAGCACTAAGCAAAGGAATGGTCTCTGCCCATGAAAGAATCAGAAATGAATCAAAGTATTCAAGTAAATACAAAATTTACCCCTGATTATTCCTATAAAGGTACCTGGGAAACGTCCACAAAGAAATGATTGAGCTAAGACCTAAAGGAAGGCCAGTAATTGACCAGACAGAGGGGCTGGCGGTGGGGACAAGAGCAAAGGAGACAACAGTGACAGGAAGGGCTCAAGGTGCTACTGAAGTAAGCCAGTCTGGCTGGAGCAGAGAGCAAGGGGAGTATGCTGCAAGACAGTCCTGGAGAGGTGTGAGGAAGCCAGCCATGGCAGACATTTTTGGTTTTATCATAAGCATAATGGGAATTGTGGAAATGTTTTAAGCAGGGAGGTGCGATCAGATTTGCATTTTCAAACTTCACCCTGACGGTAGTTGGAATAATAGATTGGAAGGGTACCAGGTAGATGTGGGGGAACCATGGCAATCTGGACACATTTAGAACTATTTATTAATCACTGATATTATTTTAATTCGTAGGAAAGATCCTTAGCTAAGCTGGGTAGGACTTAATTTAGGAATGTAAGCTAACTGTGGAAAAGTATGACTGACTAAATTTTCCACCTTTTCTCCTATATTAGGCAACTGATTGAAGGAACAGACGTTCTTCAACAACTAGAATTGGTTCCAACAGAGAATGAAAGACCAATACAACCATGTACAATTATCGACAGTGGAAATTTTTATGTTTGATTTTCAAATCAGTATTTTCTGACTTTATTATGTATCTGATCAGCTATTTCTAGATTTAATTAAACCATGCTTGATAAAATTTGAAAGCTGTCGCAGATGCAGTAGCAGTTGGTTTACCCCAAACCCAGTATTATTTCTTTTTTCCTTTCTTGCCTCTGCCATATAGACTATAAAAGCACAAAACTCCATTTCCCAGCCTCCTTTACTACCAGGAGTGGTCATGGGATACCATTTTGGCCAGGAATAGAATGCTAGTGGTCCTGACCCTTGCCCTTCATCAGTCTTCAATGCAGAGGCTAGAGTCATAAAAGAAAGAAAACTGCAGATATGTCAGCCACAACTCTTGATACCCCAAACTACTTATCTCTGGACTTCTTCTGTGAGAAAAATAGAGCCCTGTTTATGTTGGTTGTATATTTTGTTACTTGTAGCCAAAGCCATTCTTAATTTTATAGCAGTACCTAATGAGTGGCCCTTGAATATTAAAATATTTTTTTGAAATAAGTTTTTTATTTATTTGAGAGAAAGGGAGAGGTAGAAAGAGACATATACAAGAATCTTTGATTGGCTGCCTCCTGCACACCCCCTACTGGGGAATTTCTCAGTGCATGGACATGGCTCAACCAATTGAGCCATACCAGCCAGGTCAAATCCTAAAGTATTTGTAATTGGTTTTTGTAACTACATTATCTGCCAGGAGAAACTTAGTAAATAACCAAGAGAGACTAGAGAAAAAAAATAATCGTTACATTTCATTGTTATACATAGCATTCAAAAAAAGCTATTGTTGAATGTTTTTATAAGACATGAATAGTATGCTTATCTCTGAGCCATTCCAAGGGCTTGGGTTTCAGTCCCCATGGTGGTTGACTCCTGAAATGTTATTGGGGATACAGCTTTATCAGCAGTGCTTAATCTGAGATTTTCAAACCCGTGTTTGGGAAACTTTTTCAACAAGACTGCTGGACCCTGTCCTTGCCCTACTCCAGAGTCTCGATGTGTGAGACAGGGATTCTGTGCATTTAGCTCTCTCCCCAGAGGTTCTTTCTTAAATGCTGGGCACTAGTCACTTGGGAATCACTGTAAGATATAAGTAATGGTTTCAGCCCTCTCTTTATAGTCGGTGACATGCTTGTTAGTGGTGATCCTGCTTGGCTGTTACCACCACAACCATCACTCCACTCCTGCCGTGCTTAAAGCCATGATGCTTTTCTTGCCTTTAGATTTGTTTTCAAACATGAAGTCTCTTTGGCCCTGGCTGGTTTGGCTCAGTGAAAAGAGCGTCAGCCTGCGGACTGAAGGGTCTTGGGTTCAATTCCAGTCCAGGGCACAGGCTGGATCCCCAATGTGGGATGTGTAGGAAAGAGGCAGCCAATCAATGATCCTCTCATTATCCTCGCATCATTGATGTTTCTCTCTTTCCCTTTCTGAAATCAATTAAAATATATATATATATAAAAAACACAAAAACATGAAATCTCTTTGAGTCAATCTTATAGAGTCAGGCCTAATTGACTTGGCACTTGCCAAAGGTAGGCATATACTAAAAATAAAAAAACAAAAAATAAATAAAAAAGATAGACACAGGAAGTTATAAAAATAGTAGTCTTGTGTGCCGATCATGCAGTTTCCCCGATGTGCATATCTTATACAACTGTAGTACAGTACCAAAATAGGCAACTGACATTGGTATATGTACTGTCAATTTTATCATGTGTAGATTCATATGACTGACACCACAATCAAGACACAGCCCTTTTCCAGTGCCACAGAGACCTCCCTGGGGCTACCCCTTTATAGTTACCCTATTGCCCACCACCATCCCAAACTCCTGAAAATGGCTCAGCCCGGCTGGTGTGACCAAGTGGTTAGCATTGACCAATGAACTACAAGGTAAGGGTTCAATTCCTGGTCAAGGTGCATGCCCATGCCCAGGTTGCAGGCTTGATCCGGTGAAGGGCATGCAGGAGGCAGCCAATCAATGGTTCTCACATCATTGCTGTTTCTCATTTCTTCCTCTGAAATGAAAAATATTAACACACACACACACACACACACACACACACACACACAAAACCAGCTCTGCAACATAAAAAGTTTTAGACTAACATCTGAAATAAGGAAAAAGTATACTATCTGTCACATTCTCAACTGACCTAGCAGCAGTCCAGTTTAAGGACATGTGTTTTAGAGACAGATAGCCTGGGTTTGAGTCCTAGCTTTGTCATTCCCTAGCTGCAAATGCTTAGGCAAGAACTCCACTGTACCTCTATTTCCTCATCTCAAAACAGTAGTATCGACCACATAAAGTGAGGATTCAAGGAATCAATCGTATACAGGACCTATAATAGGAACTGTTATACTGTAAGTGCTCGATAAATTACCAGTGTATAACCTTCAGAAACTTGTATTTTTTATTTTCAGCTTAAAATAAGATTACTTAAGTACAAAGGGTGAGTCAACACAAGGAAAAACAGAAGTAGCAGTACTTGGAGCTTGAGGCAGGTGGACCTCCTGGACAGGTGTGTCTTCTCTGGTGGGCCTGGGACCATCTGGGGGTAAGGCCTCACCTGGACACCTTGTCTGCTGACAGGGGTCTAATAGGGCCCCCACTAGCCTGTCCTACGGTTGCCTGGGCTTGGCAGGGCACATGCTCAAAGGCTTCACTGAGGACGGGGCCTGCCTGGGATGGGCAGGGTCCTGGAGGCTGGACCTCAGTCACTGTCATGCCTTCTCCTCTTCTTGGGAGAGGAGTTGGAATTGTGCTTGCGATGGTGGGCCCTGGTCGGAGCCGAGGACAGTGAGGTTCTGTGCTCCTTCTCTCTCTTCTTCTCTTTCTTGTGCTTCTTCTTTTTCTTCTTCTCTTTCTTGCTCTTCTTGTGACCCTGGGTACCTTGCTCCACCTTCTCCTCTTGCCTGGGCTTCTTCCTGGCGGGGGAGGCCCCGGGCCGGCTGCTGTCCACGCCGTGGTGCGTGAACACCGGCAGCCCCAGCTTGGCCGCCTCCTTGTCTTCTCGGGACAAGGCCACTCGGCCTGCGGAACCGCTGGAGCTCCCCAGGCCCAGGAGCCGGTCCACCCCCTTCTCCTCCGGGTCACCACCTTCACGCTTGCAGATCTCCACAAAGTCCTCCTTGCTCAGGCCAGTGGGCTGCTTCCGCACGTTCTTGTAGCCCAGCGCCGCCATGAGCGCCTCCTGCTCCGCCTGCCTCACGGCCGCCAGCTCCTGCTCGCGGCTCATCCCCGCGCCCTCCGCCCGGCCCTTGGCGTACCAGGTGAGGTCGCGGCCCTTCTGCCAGCGGCCCACTGGGGCCATCAGCGAGTTGCCCAGGTAGTTCTCCCTCTGCTTGTCGGTCTTCACATCCTCCCAGCTGAACTGGTCCTGTCCCCCGCGCACGCCACCTCGGCTGGAGCCGAACATGGTGCTGGCTGCCCCTTGGCCTCTGGTCGGGAACTTATATTTTTAAAAGGCTCCTCAATGACTCTGATTAACAGCCAGATTTGGGAATCACTGAGGAGGAGCTGTCTCCCCTTCTTCTAGTCCGAGTTTCGTTCCGCCACGCTGCAAATTCAGGCTGTTTGAGTGTAGCCTCCAGATCCTCTCTCTGGGCCTGTGGATGGGTTCCTGTGGTCACACTGGGGACTTGGCAAAGGGACTCCCACCAGCCAGTGAGGCACTGGATGAATGAAACGGATGCTTTGCAGAGATCCTGGTTAAAACAAAAGCATCCATCATGTAATAACAAACAATAATCCTTACTGGCAATGAACCCATATAGTAAGACATTAAGTATTTTGTGTGAAAGAACTGGACTTCTGCTGGACGTAAGAAACTGATTGAGCTCCCTTTATATTTCAGTGTAGCTGCAATGTAAATGCTGCAAACTTTCTCTAGGATGGCACATTCAGAGCCCCTCTGTTGCTGCTACCCACTTTCAGGCTGTCTAGAAGCTTTACTGATCTGTATAGGCAGTGGTCCTTATTATCCCCACTTAAAGGTACACACAGAAAAAAACTTCTGGATCAGAATATAACATGTATTAGAATGATCTGAATGTTTAAACATGTTTGGAGAAACTGACTGTTACAAAGGACTCAAAGCTTACCCCGATTAACTGCAAATATAAGACTTTGGTTTAACCAAATTGAAAGACTGATTAAGCAGAAATTATTCTAGAATTTTTCCAAGCCTATGTACAAATAGGGGCAAAGGCATTTTAATGAATATTTAAAATGTTAGTTATATGACCTTGCCCTAATGGCTGATGTGGCAGAGTCAAGTACACAGATTGTAACTTACACTAAGCCGTTTAATAAGGGGAGTGTGGTATCTGGACATTTTTCTTTTTTGGGAGATCTAAGACAGACATTTAATATTCTATCTAAATAATTTTTTGCCCCAACTACAACAGTGCCAGTATTTGTTAATGAATGAGTAGTGTGGTAACCTCAGAACCCCATACTGTTTATATGTATTTTAAATAAGGAGGGTTTTAGTCCCAGCTATCTAGCAATGGGTGGTCAAATCACTTTACCTTTCACTTTCCTCATTTGTAAAAGGAACAGAGAAGTAAGAAGTGTTGGCTTCCTTCTGGCTCTAACACTTTAGTGATTCTGTGTATGTTTATAAAATCAATAACTACTGTTATTTGCTTTGGGGCTTCCATTTCATTAGTAAAATGAAGGAACTTCTATCTCACAATGTCTGTGGGTTGAGATAATATGTGAAGATATTTCTCATGATGCTTGACACAACAGATACTGAATAAAAAGTAGTTTCTTTTCTAGAATATCAACCCACAAAAACCAATCTAGCTGCCACTGACAGAGAAACACCAAGTCCCTGTTAATGTTCAGTATTAGTCATTCTCATTAACACCATGTTAATTTTCAACTGACTGAGTTAATCTATCCTCAAAATTAAAATTGCTCTCTATTATACCCGGTGATAATCTCTCCTGTATGGAAACTCATTTTTTCAAGTAGTACTATATTGATTATACTATTCACTCCCCTTCCCCAAATGGAATCACAACTTAAAACTGGCAAATTTATTCTGTCTACGTCTCAAATAAGTTTTATATAACACATAAAATATTTGTTGTAAACTCAACAGTAACATGTA